TGGATGGAGTTCAGAACATAATAGCTCAAGAATGATGAAGAAGAAAATTAGTTTTGAGAAGCAAACTTGTTTTTCAATAAGCAACCTGTTTGCAAAGATGAGCTGGATAATGTTTCTTCAAATAAACTGGCTCCAAAGACTTTGCTTAAGCAAAGAGTGAAGTTACTTGTTGATTTATTGGGTTATTTTTCCTGGCCTGGGAACAAACAACTAAGTCATGTAGACACCCAGGCTAAGTGCTTAGTGTGAGCATTTTGTCACAGTAATGCAGGTGTTTATAATTCTTATGCACATAGCTCCAAGTATGGACAGCTTGGCCTCCCCTCTGCTCCTCATTCAAGGTAAGTGGAACTACATTTAACCTTTATTGCTGAGTCATACTCTTCAGAAGAAAAGAATCGCCTTCACTGCTTTGGAATTGATCCAAGAAGCTAATGCAGCCCCTCCCAACTGCGAGAGAAATGGAATGTTAAAGATAGTAAAGGAATAAATCTCTTCATCATTATTCTCTCTCATTCCAGTCCCTAAACACTTTAATTGCTACAGAAAAGTGAATGTCTTTCTACTAGCATAACTTGATCTTTTGGAATATTTTACAACATTCCAACCAGAAACCTAATTAAAATTGGATCTCAAAATTAGTATGTCCATCTTTCTGAATTTTCTTTCTTCCTTAAAAAACATACTCAATCCATTACCATATCCTACTATCTGGTTCTTGAAATCTGGACCCAAACTGCATCCATGTCTCTCTACCTTGATGCCGGTTTCTCCAATGCAAGCTGCAACACCTCTTTCCTGGAGCGCTGCAGTGGGCCCTCGGGTGTCCCTTGTTCCACATCTGGGCCCTCTCCAAATGATCACCTGTATAATCTGAGAATTCTAATTTTCATATCAAGGTACACTAACCTTTGCACACCCTAGCTGTGAGGCTTGACTGTTGAATTGATTATATTCTGTATGCTATCAATAACAAAAAATCATGTAAATAAGTAATATTCAAACTCCACATAATTTTATATCATTTCCTTATTTAAAAGTAAATTTCACATAGAATGCATAGGACATCCTCCAAACATCAGGCCCCAAGGTTCATAGACAGGTACCTGAGTACTAATATTGGTACTTTGAAAACTGGAATGCTACATCTGGGTTTGTGGTGACACTCCTCATATATCACTGTGGAAGATTTCCAACTTTTAACAACGGTTGGAAAACATCAATTTTCCAACCTATAGATTATAATTTCTCAATTATTAAAACCTATCTGAAAAATTGGAGGAGAGTGGTAAATACCAGATACATACTTTGTAAAATATCTAGAGAACAAAGACACTGCTTCATACATGCCTAAACATTGGGATTTCTCTATCTGTGCTGGAGTCCAGAATGCAGAAATTAGAGGTACCACAAAAGTGGTTCCCTTTTTATCTATTACTTCATGCCCTTCATAAACCAGAAAATGTAGATGTCGGTTCCAACAAAATCAAATCCTTAAACCCCATCTATGTGAACACACTAAAAACTACAGTTTTAGCAGGAATCTCCACTCTTGCTTGCTCCGTCACTGTCTCTGTCTCTGTCTCTGTCTCCTCTCTCCC